TCGGGACAGTCTCAGCTTACAAGTTTGCGCACCAAGAAAGAGAGGCTCACACACACAGAGATTCGAGAGTGCTACAGCATCTCTCTCCCCCAGTGGCTTGACCGCTCTCAAGGTCCTCTTCCCGGTTTCCCCTTTTTTTCTTTTTCCCCCCTCCCCACCCCCGTTGATCGCCATCCATTTCAAGATCTTTCACTCTGCTTATTTCCAATCGAAGCGACGACCGACCGGCAAAACCGCCATATTGCCGCCGGCTATATACCTATAATCTATAACCAATCGAAGAAACGACATTCCGTCGTTTTATATATACTAAAGAGCGCCTCTGACTGCGCAGATGTTGCATATATATAGTATACTGACCTAAAGATGACTGGTCCATTACGCTAACATCCCCCCCCCCTTCCATTTTCACATCATGGTCCCCAATCGATAATCGAATCAATCATGTACACCTCACCTTCTTTTTCTTTTTATTAATTTTTTTTTCTCTCTCTCTATATATATATTTTCTTTAGTTAAAATGTCTTCCGCAATTTGCCTATCGACTTTTTTTTTCCCTCTCTTCTTTTGCATAATGCTATTCATGTTTTGTATTTGATGAACATGGGTGGTCCACGAGAAAGAGAGAGAGAGAGAGAGAGAAAGATGTTTTATATTCAAGACTAATTCTCTTTTTTTTTTGGAGGATATTTAACTTTGCTTCTCTTTTTTTTAACAATCTTTATTTAACTGTGATTAATTTCAATTTAGTGTATTGAAATGTTTTGTTTTTTAGATGAATGATTTTTGAATTATTTATGGAGAAAAAAATTAAATGTCTCAACTAACATTTAGTTAGCTTCTCGCTAATTTCGCAATTGTTTTTATATGGATAGCAATTATATGTAGCTAAATATTCTCTAAATTTTAATATTAGAATTAGTGAGATTCGACAGTTGAAATAGTTGGAATTAATTACAGTTTAGTTAAATTTAATAATAATAATAATTTCGTAAAATAATTTAATAATTACACTGTAAAAAGAAGGTACTAAAATAGTATCGATTTTAGGTATTAAAATATGTAGAACCAAAAGGCAATTTAGTACCTAAGGTTGGTATTAAATTAATACCTCTCTTTTTACAGTGTATTAAGTTAACAAATTAAATTAATAATAATTTATTTAAATAATTTAGTTAACAATTTAGTTAATAATCTAGTTAATTATTTATTTAAATAATTTAGTAAACAATAAAGTTACTGTTTAGTTAATAATATTTTTAAATAATTTAGTAAACAATTAAGTTACTATTTAGTTAGGAATTTTTTAAAATAATTTAGTAAACAATTAAGTTACAATTTAGTTAATAATTTATTTAAATAATTTAATTAATAATTTACTAAATATTTAGTTACTATTTAGTTAATAATTTTTTAAAATAATTTAGTAAAAAATTAAGTTACAATTTAGTTAATAATTTATTTAAATAATTTAATTAATAATTTACTAAATATTTAGTTAACAATTTAGTTAATAATTTAATTTATTATTTGGCTAATAATTTATTTAAATAATATAGTTAACAATTTAATTAATAATCTAGTTAATACTTTTTTTAAATAATTTAGTAAACAATTAAGTTACTATTTAGTTAATAATTTTTTAAAATAATTTAGTAAAAAATTAAGTTACAATTTAGTTAATAATTTATTTAAATAATTTAATAAATAATTTACTAAATATTTAGTTAAGAATTCAGTTAATAATTTAATTTATTATTTGGCTAATAATTTATTTAAATAATTTAGTTAACAATTTAGTTAATAATCTAGTTAATTATTTATTTAAATAACTTAGTAAACAATTAAGTTACTATTTAGTTAATAATTTTTTTAAAATAATTTAGTAAACAATTAAATTACTATTTAGTTAATAATTTTTTTTAAATAATTTAGTAAACAATTAAGTTACAATTTAGTTAATAATTTATTTAAATAATTTAATTACTAATTTACTAAATATTTAGTTAATAATTTAGTTAATAATTTAGTTAAAATTAACTATACTAATCTATCATGGCTAAAAATTAGCTCCCTTATTAAAAGCAAAAATTAATGTTTCTTCGATATTTATTCACTAAAAAGTGTAAATATTAACAAAAAAAATGTAAATTTTACAGTAAATTTTAGTCAACTATAATGAGTTCAAGGCAAATCAAATTTATCCAATATATGTATATACAATAAGCAATGCCATTGAATGCAAATAAATTCAATTGAAATGGAATGTGAATATACAAGTGAAACATTGAATCGATATGCGAATTTAACACACCATATTCGAATGCAATTAAGAATATTTTAAATAAATATTAACTTGAAATTATTATTAATGTCACTATTGTTTTGATAAAATAATATTCTTTGTAAATTTCTTTTATATCAAATAGAACTAAATAATAGTACAATTTTTTCAAAATTAATTAATTAATTATAAATACATAAATTAATTGGTAATTAATTAATTATAAATAAATTAATTAATTGGTAATTAATTAATTATAAGTAAATTAATTATTTGCAATTAATTAATTATAAATAAATAAATTAATTGGCAATTAATTAATTATAAATAAATAAATAAATAAATTATAAATAAATAAATTATAAATAAAATAAATAATTAATTATAAATAAATAAATTAATTGGTAATTAATTAATTATAAATAAATAAATTAATTGGCAATTAATTAATTATAAATTAATTAATTAATTGGCAATTAATTAATTATAAATAAATTAATTAATTACAAATAAATAAATTATAAATAAAATAAATAATTAATTATAAATAAATTAATTAATTGGCAATTAATTAATTATAAATAAATAAATTAATTGTTAATTAATTAATTATAAATAAATTAATTGTTAATTAATTAATTATAAATTAATTAATTAATTGTTAATTAATTAATTATGAATAAATAAATTAATTACAAATAAATAAATTATAAATAAAATAAATAATTAATTATAAATAAATAAAATTTATCATAAACTAATTTTCTTTCTTCCTCCCTTGTAATAATAACATTTCTTGTTTCCTAACGAAACAAATTCACAAAATCATTAAAAACACCCACTCATGCTATAAAAGCAATGGCTTTTATATGCATTTAAGATTAGGTATAATCGACAATTTTCTCTTTCACTCTTTCTCATAAGTGCGTCGATATGGGATTCTTTTTCTCACACCCACACACGATCAGTCAATTGAGAGTATACCAGAAGCTGTTATTAATTTCTATCGAAGAGAAATTTCTCACCTATACTATTTATGCGAAATATTTTTTTAAAAAATAATTTCCTTTAGTATATATATATATGGAGAAAGTAGCGCCAATCATCGTTCATTATTCACCCTTATTTTGTCTATATGTATATTTATACGAGAAAAAAAACGTTTGAATTTTGTGTGTGTGAGAATTTTCAACGTCAACGATTAAACTAAAAATAGTCAATGCTCTCTTACTTATTTGCATACTGCGAGTCCTGAGTATAGAGAGCAGACTGTAAATTTAGTTCTCTAGTTTTTTTTTTACCACAAAAGACATTTTAAACGTTCAGTTTATTAATAGCCCTAGGCAAATAATTGCATGATAATTACAGTAATTTTTGTAATTTTTTTTTTGTCGGATAGTCAAATAAGTGGAAAATATTTTTATTGGTAATATTTAGAAAAGAGGAATTAAATATCAAAATTCATTTAATTTATAATTAAAAAATTTGATATTAAAAGAATAAAAAAATTAGTTTTAATTAAAATTCTTTTTTGTCACATTTAATAATTTAGTAATAAAATATTCGAATGGCAAAATTTTTGGGATTGTTTTACTATTAAAAAAATTAATAACTAATTTTGTAATTTGAAAAATATAAAAAAAAATAATTTTACAGTAATATGTAGTTTGAATATTATATCAGTTCTAAAAATAAAAAAAAAAATTAATTAATTTACAGTAATAAGTAGTTTGGAGTATCAGACTTTATGGTGAAAACGTGTTTATAATAATATTTTAATTCAGGAAGATTTTAATTCTAGTTATTTTATGGAATAAAGTGTGCGACGCCACAAATGTGTAGGCAACAAACGCCGGGTGACACGACTGAACTCGTTTCAATTTTTTTCTTTTCTTTTTTTTTTTTTTCATTTTTTTATACTTTTTTTTTACCACCTACATCGTAATTCCTGAGACTGTTATATAGGTACGCACGTACCACTTATCGTCTATGAAATCACGACGATAGACATCATAATTCACGCCTCTCGATTTACTACATATATATGTATATGCAATCGCTTTATATGTATCGCAAAAGAATTTTTTTTCGAAAAAAAATATTTCTTTCAAAAATAAATTCTGTTTCCAAAAAGAATTTCTGTTCTCAAAAATAAATTCTGTTTTCAAAAATAATTTCTGTTTGAAAAAATAAATTCTGTTTCCAAAAAGAATTTTTGTTCTCAAAAATAAATTCTGTTTCCAAAAAGAGTTTCTGTTTTTAAAAATAAATTCTGTTTCCAAAAAAAATTTCTTTTCTCAAAAATAAATTCTGTTTCCAAAAAGAATTCCTGTTTTTAAAAATAAATTCTGTTTTCAAAAAGAATTTCTGTTTGAAAAAATAAATTCTGTTTCCAAAAAAAATTTCTGTTCTCAAAAATATTTTTTGCCCAAAAAGAATTTCTGTTTTCAAAAAGATTTTTTGCCCAAAAAAAATTTCTGTTTTCAAAAATATTTTTTGCCCAAAAAGAATTTCTGTTTTCAAAAAGATTTTTTGCCCAAAAAGAATTTCTGTTTTCAAAAAGATTTTTTTTTGTTTAAAAAGAATAATTTCTTTTGGAAAACAGAATTTCTATTATCAAAGAATTTCTGTTTTTCAGAATGAATTCTTGATTTCAAAAAAAAAAATTTTTTTGTAAATAATGAAATTTCAAAAAAAAAATTCAGCAAAAACTCACCATTTTTGTTGCATTCTTTAACAACGACGACACTAGGAATGTTCTTTAACTTGTCTTTTTCCGCTTCTGCTTTCTCTTCAAGGTCATTCACTTCCTTATTGCTGTAATGAAAAGGAAAAAAAAAATTAATTTCTTTTTTCACTAATAAATTTCCATTTAGATTGCTTTACGATTTAAAGTTTATCACGTATATCACTACAATCTCTGATGTGTGCAATATTGGCATTTTGATACTGTGACCATTAGTTTCTGTTGAGGAGTTTCATATATATAGAATAAAATTAACATGTCACGTGGATTTTAGTGTTTTTCAACATTATTTAATGAATTTGACTCATTTCCTTATTTTACATTTTATAGATCAGGTGTTGAAATCCGCGAGACTTGATTTTCTCACCATTTTCCGGGAGTAATAATAATAATAATAATATAATAATAATAATAATATAATAATAATAATTATTATATAATAATAATTATATAATAATAATCTAATAATAATCATAATTATTTTTTTAATAATTATTTATTATTGTAAAAGGAGGAATTTAATTAATAATAATATACACGCAGAGAAATGATTTATTTGAACCAAATAAAATATATTTGAGTTAAATAAACGTATATTTGTCTCAAAGCCTACTAACTTATTTATTTGGCGTAAATAAAAGTTTTATTTGTCAGAAATAAATTTTTCTTTGCCTCAAATAAATTTTTTATTTCAATGAAATAAAATATATTTGCAACAAATAAATGAGTTAGTAGGCTCGGAGACAAATATACCATTTCTCTGAGTGTACACTGAAAAAAAAATTTATTTGATTCAAATACAGGTGTATTTGGTTATTATCAAATAAATATTTACTTGAATCAAATATTTCTTTTTTGAATCAAATAAATGGTATTTGCTTCAAATACTGAAAATATTTGATTCAAATAAGAAATATTTGATGCAAGTAAATATTTATTTGATAATAACCAAATACACTGGTATTTGAATCAAATAAATTTTTTTTCAGTGTAGCAATAATTATAATTATTTTTTAATATTTTTTTATTTATTATTATTATTATTATTATTATTATTAATTATTACCACCGATTGATAAATACAAAATAATAGTATTTATTATTATAATTTGTTATTAATAATAAATAAATATTATAATATAATAATTATAATTATAATTATAATTTAAGTATAATTGTAATTTTTTTCTTATAAATACTATTGTATGAAAGGGCATGTCCCGTTTATTTGATAAATAAATAAATAAATAAATAAATAATAAATAATTACAGGGAAAAAAATTTTTTATCTGGAACAGCGATATGTTTATTTGGAATAGTGAAAACTTTCCCTGTTTTAGTGAAACATATCGCTTATGCCAGTGAGAAGAATTTTTTTTTAAGAACTAAATAATTTGAAGGCAAATACCAAATTTTTATTTTTACAAATTAAAAACAGTGACTTTCGATTTTAAAAAATTTAATTTTGAAATAAATAAAAATATTTGCTAATCTTTTTTATTAAAAAAAAAAGAAAAAAAAACAAGTAGAAAAAAAGAATTAAGACTGATAAAGTCTGGCTTCCCTTGTAAATCATTTTAATAATACGACGCGATTTTTTTTTTTATATATATATATATATATATATATATACAATTATTGCATTACTGTCGGTGGTGAAGTCTGTAAATTTAATAAATAAAAAAGAAAAGAAAAAAACTGCGAGAACCTATACCTACGTCAGTTTTAACTCGATTAAATCTATTTGAAGGAAGGCAACCTTGCAAAGTAGTAACATCCCAAGAATATCAAATGGAATGGCGCCGCACTTCTTGCCACTGTAGATATAGGCAATATACATGGATAATTAGCGATGAGAAAACAAGATCAATTAATCGCCAGTGCAGATCCGCACTGTGCACGACAGAAACTCGTCTACAGAGTCTTTGCAACTAGAGGGTCACATGATATTTTTTTGTCATGTCTCAACATTTTTCCCTCGCATCCTCTCTTTATATATACAATGTTTGTACAAGAAGCTTCTGAAGCTTTTCTTTTTTTTTCATTTTGAAAATAGCTTTTAAATAATTGATATATATCTCATTATTTTTTTTTTCTTATTTTAAACAAAGATTTGTAAATAAAAAAGTTAATTAATAATTACAAATTTATATTAATAATAATAATAATAATAATAATAATCTGGTTTATTAAATGGTAACGATAAAAAATATACAGAATAATAATAATAATAATAATAATAATAATAATTTATAAAATTTAATATATCTTCATTGATGTTTTATCCCAATTAATAATAAATTATAATATTATAATTTAATATAATATAATACAATAATTACATTTTTTAATTCTTCTAGAATTGTTATGCAATTTAACAATAGTCCAAATTCCATTTCTATAAATAGTTATTATTATTAATTATTATTATTATCTATATTATTAATTATTGTTATTTGCATTTCAAAAGAAAACATTTTTTTTTGTTTTTTTTTTTTTTTGAAAAAAGAATTATATGAAAATATTTATCATCGTCATTATATTGAAAATTAACTTTGAATTGAACTTTCTAAAAGGTGTTGTTTCAAAAGTATTAGTTAATATTTTTCTTGTATTTTTTTTCAAAATAGAAAATTATATAATGTCATCATTTTTTTTTTTTATTTTATATAGAAACGATAAAAATTTATTTTAATTAAATTCCGACCCTAATTTAAAAGGTCAATTGTGTAAAATTTGATATTGATGAATAAAATATTCTTGCAAAATTTAATTCACTTTTTTTTAATGATTTAACATTTAGTTTTGTGACATAAAACAAAAAATGGTGATTTTTAATTTATTTGTGAGACGCGTGTAATTAATTACAAGATATAAAAATTATTTATACATTTTTTTTTTGCATATTATGCTGTATGTAATAAATTTTATATTAACGATGACTAATTTTTTTTATATCCAATTATTTTTTAAATTTATTTTAAATATTTATATTATATTTTTATTATATTTATATTTATATTTATATTTATATTTGTATTTATATAAAAATAAATATAATTATAATAAAAATTATAGTTTGAATATTTTGTTCTTCAATTTGTATTTATATATCAATGCAGAATTACGAATAATAAAAAATATAATATATTTTATATAATATATTTTATATATTATTTATTATATTTTATATATTAATTATGTTTTGCTGACATTTATATCTCGATAAAAAAAAAATAATTACAATAACACTTACGCGTTATTATATTCCAACGAATTAGTTTCCTCCTCTTCTCCAATTGTTGCCAAATTGCTCTGCCAATAATAGTCTCCAGCATCATCACTTTCTTCACTTGTATCATCCTCATCGTCAATTAATTCCTCCCTTTTGTAACATCTCTTTATTTCTATTTCCTGTGTAACATTTTCAATGTCCGAACAAATATTTTCCAATCTTTCAATTGGCGTTTCGTTTATAATTAATTTACAGTCATTAATTTCCTCTTTATTAGCTTCAATTTGATGATTTTCTTTATTTTCTATGACAAAACCATTACATTGATTCAAAACTTGTTCCTTATTCGAAATCAAATTATCTTCTTTTTTTCGTAAATCGATTTCTTCTTCTGTATCATCTTTTTTTTCTTCGTTTTTTGTAGTCTTTTGTTTTCTACTTTCTTCCCTTTCGCTTTTCTTTTCCATTCTTTTTATATTTTTCTTTTTATTTTCTTCATTTCCGTTTTCTTCTCTTTTTATTTCTTCTATTTCTTTCCTAATTTCTCCCTTTACTTCTTTCCTAATTTTTCCTTTTATTTCTTTTTCTATTTCTTCTTTTTTCCTTTCTTCTATTTTTCTCTCTTGTTTTATTCCTTCCCTTTTTTCATCAATATTATTTGTATCCTTCTCTTTTTCGTTTTCATAATCTTCAATTTCATTTGTACTCCTTTTTCCATTAATGGGAAAATTATTTTTCAATTTTCCACTTTCTATTTTCTTTTCATTTATCCATCGTACATTCTCCGCATTCTCGGAGATCGTCGAGGATTTTTTATGATGCGCATCATCGGACATTTTAATTTTCATCTCAATTATATCCAATAATTTATTTGTCTGTAATTCTTGAATTGAAAAATTTTCCTCCATTTCACCGTTTGTCATTTTATTTGATCCATTTTCACATTCCTTCGGATTTTCCCTCTTTGAATTTCTTTCATCTACATTCAAATTTGATTCCATTTCTATTGCATTTGATGATTTATTTATTAATTCTTTAGTGGAATTTAATTCCGATTTTGAATTTGATTTTTTATTTGGATCCGATCCTTTGTGGGGACTTGATCCTTTAGCTGAATTCGCTAATTTATCTGGATTTGGTCCTTTAGCTGGATTTGGTCCTTTATCTGGATTTGCTCCTTTATCTGAATTTGCTACCTTATCCGGATTTGGTTCATTAGCAGGATTTGGTCCTTTAGCTGGATTTGATCCTTTAGCTGGATTTGCTACTTTATCCGGATTTGGTCCTTTAGATGGATTTGATCCTTTTTTTGAATTTGCTACCTTATCTGTATTTGATCCTTTATCTGAATTTGCTACCATATCTGGATTTGATCCTTTGTTTGGATTTGATCCCTTGTTTGGATTCAATCCTTTATCTGGATTTAATCCTTTATCTAGATTCGATCCTTTATCTGGATTCGATCCTTTATCTAGATTCGATCCTTTATCTGGATTTGCTACTTTATCTAGATTTGCTCCTTTATCTAGACTCGATCCTTCATCTAAATTTAATCCCCTATCTAAATTTCCCACCATCGGGAAATTAGAATCATTATCCAAATTCCCTTCCTTTTCCGAATCACCAATTTCCAAACTCCCTTCCTTTCCCAAATGTTCATCGGAGCATGTTTCCATTATTCTCGAATTTTCCAATTCTATCACCTTTTCAAAATTTGATTCCCCATTCTGTTTGGCAAATACCTCTGTCAAATCCCTCGATTCTTGCGAAACTTCTTCTTCCTCATTGAAATTTATTTTCTCAGCTAAATTATCCGTCTTCTTTGGATTTTTTTCCAAATTGAAATCAATTTCTGAATTAAGATCCCTCTCTATCGGCGGTACAGGTACAGATCGTCTTGGAATTGAATTAGGTGGTGGAGGTGGAGGCGGTGGTGGTCTCTTTCTTCTAGCCTTGAGATCCTTTCTAGGCATTGGCTTTGGAGGCAAAATTGGCGTTCCCGATACAATATCATCGTCATCATTATCGGATCTTCCATTTTGTTGATTTACAGAAATTCTATTAACGTGATTTCTAATTGGTAACGGTGGCGCATCAGAATTCGTCACCTGATGATGATGACGATTGTGATCATCAATAATCGAATCGTCAATAGTAGAATGATCATCAATGATCGAATGATCAACATCTCCATTGACAATTGATTCAACAATCGATGCATCGTCTTTAATTGGCCGAAAATGTGTCTTTGAATCGGCAGCAAGATCAGTGTAAAAAATACCTGGACTCAATTCATGACCATAGCTGAGTGGCGCATCCTGAAAGCTGAGCGGTGGCTGTAGGGTAATGGTCTCTTCAATGAGAACAGTATTTGGAGCGACAACAGCAGTGACACGTTCAACGTCGCCTCTTGATTCAACATGAGTGACGGCTTCAGAATTAGCGAGACGATTTAGTAGATAGTCGGGTGGATTTGTGGTGAATTCGAGTTCCAATTGATCGAGTGGTGCCAACATTCCCGTTGTCATTGTTAGAGCAGCGTCTATCAAGAATTCTTTTACACTACTACTTCTACTACTGCTGTTATTATTATTGTTGTCGTTGCAATGATGATTATGATGATGATGACTATTCCCTTTGGTGTTGTCCGATGTGCAATATTGCTCGGAGCCAGCGATTGATGCTGTTGAGGCAGTGGAAATTGTTGAGACTCGATCAGAGATGGAAAATCTGTCGACAACTGTCGAGAGGGAACTGCTTGTCTCGTCTGATGTGCTTCCATGTGTGCTTGATGCGTCCTGAATTCTTGCGTCTAGGTACACCATTGCCTCGGGTGGCTCCTGGAAAAAGGGTACCGGTTTTTTTTTATTGGTGTTTCGATAAATTCTGATGAGTAGGAATGATGCTGAGGCAAAGGGGACAAAGAATGATGAAGAAGAAAAAGAAGAAAAGGATGATGCAATAGATTAAAAATGATGCAGAGGAATAAAAAAATAATGAAGAACTTTTGGGTTAGGAAATACATTAGGTTAGGTTCGGTTAGGTTAGGAACTACGTTAAGTTAGATTAGGTTAGTTTAGAAACTATACGTACGGTTAGAAACTACTTCAGGGTAGAAACAACCTTAGGTCAAAAACTACGTTAGGTTACAAACTACTATAGGGTAGAAACTACCTTAGGTCAAAAACTACGTTTGGTTACAAACTACTTTAGGGTAGAAACTACGTTAGGTTAGATTAGGCTTGGGTAGAAACTACTTTAGGGTAGAAACTGTCTTAGGTCAAAAACTACGTTAGGTGACAAACTACTTTAGGGTAGAAACTACCTTAGGTCAAAAACTACGTTAGGTTACAAACTACTTTAGGGTGGAACTACGTTAGGGTAGAATCTACGTTAGGGTAGAATCTACGTTAGGGTAGAATCTACATTAGGGTAGAAACTACGTTAAGTTAGATTAGACTTGGGTAGAAACTACGTCAAGTTAGAAACTACTTTAGGGTAGAAACTACATTAGGTCAAAAACTACTTTAGGTGACAAACTACTTTAGGGTAGAAACTACCTTAGGTCAAAAACTACGTTAGGTTACAAACTACTTTAGGGTAGAAACTACGTTAGGGTAGAATCTACGTTAGGGTAGAATCTACATTAGGGTAGAAACTACGTTAGGTTAGATTAGACTTGGGTAGAAACTACGTCAAGTTAGAAACTACTTTAGGGTAGAAACTACATTAGGTCAAAAACTACGTTAGGTTACAAACTACTTTGGGATAGAAACTACGTTACATTAGATTAGACTTGGGTAGAAACTACGTCAAGCTAGAAACTACGTACGGTTATAAACTACGTTAGGGTAGAAACTACGTTAGGATAGAAACTACGTTAGGTAAGATTATACTTGGGTAGAAACTCCGTCAAGTTAGAAACTACTTTAGGGTAGAAACTACATTAGGTCAAAAACTACGGTAGGTTACAAACTACTTTGGGGTAGAAACTACGTTAGATTAGAAACTACGTCAAGCTAGAAACTACGTACGGTTAGAAACTACGTTAGGACAGAAACTACGTTAGGTTAGATTAGACTTGGGTAGAAACTACGTCAAGTTAGCAACTACTTTAGGGTAGAAACTACGTTAGATTAAATTAGACTTGGGTAGAAACTACGTTAGATTAGAAACTACGTCAAGTTAGAAACTACGTACGGTTAGAAACTACTTTTGATTAGATTAGTTTTGTGTAGAAGCTATGTTTGGTTAGAAACTAGGTAAAGGTATGTTAGGAACTACGTTAGGTTAGGAGCTATGTTAGGTTAGAAACTACATTAAGTTAGAAAATACTTTAGGGTATAAACTACTTTTAGGAAGAAACTACTTTAGGTTAGACACTACATAAGGTTAGGTTAGATACATTACCCAATCTAATCTAACCCAACCTAACCAATCCTAAACTAATCATACCCAACGTAATCATTTCTAACCTAAAATAAAGGAATATTGGAATAAAATGACAATGAAGAAAATAAAAATGCAGAAATAGAAGATAAAAAGCAGGAGATGAAGAAGATAAAAATCTACAGAAGATGATAATAATACAGAAGATGCAGAAGATAAAGAAGATAAAAATACAGAAGATGAAGAAGATAAAGATGCAGAAGAATAGAATAATGAAAAAAAAAAGGTACAGAAGAAGAAGAAGACAGCAAAAAAGAATAAAACGATAAAAATGTAAAAAAAAGGCAGAAGATTTAAAAGATAACAAAGAAGATAAACAAAAGGCAATAAAAAAACAAAAAAAAATAATTAAAAAAATCCTCAAATTAAAAAAAAAAATAATATTTGCCCCACCTGTTTGAATTTGGCATCAGATGAATAATCCTTGGGCATTGCTTTTGGGCTTTCATTTTTTGAATTAATACCACTCTTTGGCGATGAATAACAACTCTCGTAAGCGGAGGTTTTACTGCTATTGCTGTTACAACTGCTTCCAAGAAAACTCGATTGCGATTGTGGCGAACCATTTTGGGACGTGGGAACGGATTTCATAGGATCCCAGGATGATGTTGCTGATGATGATGATGATGTTTTTTTTACGGGACTTGGATTTGCCTCACCATCAGCCAATCCACGTGGATGTCTCAATTTTCTTGGTGGCACTGGTGGTGGTGCCAATGGTAATTCAGGTGGTATTTTATTCTTCTCCATTGATGCTGTTGGTGGTGATGATTTTCTTTCTGCACTAACCACTTCCGGTCTCAATGCACCGCGACATCTTACAATCAATTTTATTACCAATTGTGATTCTTTTAGTCTTCGAACACAATCCAAACGAGTCATAAGAATCACTGGTACACCGTCAATTGAGAGAATCTAAAATAAAAAATTTTTTTTTAATTACTTTCATTCAGTGTAGAAAATTATTTCTTCTTTTTTTAGAATTTTCTATTTAATTTATTATTTTAGTTATTCTTTAACTCTTTTTTTTTAATATGATAATTTCTATTATCCTAGTATGTAATAAAAATGTAATAATGAAATGTAAAAAGAAAACAATGTAAAATTATGTTATAATAAAAAAAAAAGTGTTACATAATTAATTTGGAGAAAAATGGTTTTTTTTTTTTGGAAAACTAAAAAATACAATGAAAGTGCCATTTATAAGATTACTTAAGTGGGTTAAAAAAAGAATCCTGTGACCGGAAGTGCGTTTTAAACACAGATTTACAGTTGCGAACACTTAAGTTCCAGTTATACATAGACGTAATGAAAAATACTTTGCTGAATGCACCACAGAATAAATTTTCACTTACTTTCTGTGTGTAAATGACAAATTATTATTGACAGTGAAAAAAAAAATTTGTTTATTTTATAATTAAAAAATTTCTTTCATCAAAGAAGCAAAATTTTTAACAAACAAATTTTTTTTATCACAGAAAATTATAAGGTATTAAAATAAGCTGCAACGCTTATTATTTTAATCTAATTTTGCTTATTTTAATATCAAAATGGTAGAAACTACCTTAGGTCAAAAAACTTCGTTAGGTTACAAACTGCTTTAGGGTAGAAACTACGTTAGGTTAGATAAGACTTGGTTAGAAACTACTTTAGGGTAAAAACTACCTTAGGTAAAAAACTACCTTAGGTAAAAAACTACGTTAGGTTACAAACTACTTTAGAGTAGAAACTACGTTAGGTTAGATTAGGCTTGGGTAGAAACTACGTTAGGTTACAAACTACTTTAGGGTAGAAACTACGTTAGGTGACAAACTACTTTAGGGTAGAAACTACCTTAGGTCAAAAACTACGTTAGGTTACAAACTACGTTAGGTTAGATTAGGCTTGGGTAGAAACTACTTTAGGGTAGAAACTACCTTAGGTCAAAAACTACGTTAGGTGACAAACTACTTTAGGGTAGAAACTACCCAAGGTTAGAAACTATTTTAGGGTAGAAACTACTTTTGGTTAGATTAGGTTTGTGTAGAATCTATATTTGGTTAGAAACTAGGTAAGGGTATGTTAGGAACTACATTAGGTTAGAAACTACTTTAGGTTAGAAACTAAACTTAAAATAAGCTGCAACGCTTATTATTTTAATCTAATTTTGCTTATTTTAATGTCAAAATGGATTAAAATAATAAGCGTTGCAGCTTATTTTAATTCCTTTTAATTTTCTGTGATGTTTATGTTCCAGACTCCCTAAGATTTTTTTTTTAATTCCACATTTTTGTTTTAAAAGAAAAAGAAAAAAAATGTGATTAAAAAAAAATTTTAATATTTAATATAAAAATATTTTTAAGGGGTCCTGAACATTAAAATCAGTACAGTAAACACGTGGTTTTTTGGCCAGAGCAATGAAATTATTTTCCAATTTCAAATCATTATAAATAATAGCAAAGGTGCATTTATCATTTCTTGAATTGGCCACGTGAGAAATATATATAAACCATTTTACGTCAAATAAAAAACATAAATATAAAATTATGTGTTTATATAATGAGGAAATGTCTTATATGGAAAGTAATATTTCACAATTTTTGGTACTAATAAGTCGTGAGTGAGAGAGAAAGAAAACGGTTAATGGTTTTAAAAAAAAAAAAAAAAATCCGAATAAGTGTCTTTTTATCCGGAAAGACAAGCTTTATTAAACTGGTTTTATGGGAGTTCACCAATACATTCGAACCGCGCACAATGTTATAATACCAAGTCGATTGGTTCACGCGAAATATTTGCACACTTTGGGTACAACAGTAATTGTGCGGTCATATATTGGTTACTTTGCGGTTGTACATGCTCTTTTTCATTTTTTTTTTTTTTTAATGTTACTTACATTGAATACCATTGGCTTTCTGGTATATATATATATATAATATAATGAGAGTGTACGAAGATTGCTCTTGTAAAATTATTATTATCGATGTCTTCATCGAAACATGATGCAATGTTTATTTACAAGTGATCTTTATACCTCAAAAATACTCCAATTATTTTCTTTCCATTATTATTACTTTTTTTCAATATTAATTTATTATTTTTATAATTATAATGGGGAGGAAAAAAGGAAATTTTAAGAATCTGATGAACAAAGGAAAAAAATTTTTTAATTTTAATTTATTATATTATTATTTATACAGTGAAAAAAAAAATTATTTAATAGAAATAATCGGTTAACTATTTTATCAAATAAATATTTACTTGAACCAAATAATTTTTGAATCAATTTGTTTTAAATAAAGAAATTATTGGTTTAAATACAGTTTATTTAATTCAACTATTTGGTATCAAAAATTATTTCCTTAAAAAATAATTTGATTCAAGTAAATATTTATTTGATAATAGTCAATCGATTATTTGAAATAAATTTTTTTTTCAGTGTAAAATTTTTTTCAAATTAAAAAATTAAAAAAAAATTACCTCATCTCCTTCGCCAAGACAGCCCCAGGAGCATTTGGTCCTGCTCGCTGGACTTTGATCGGCGCAACTTTGTATAAAAAGTCGTTTAACTCTCTCTGATGTTTTATTGCCACCCTCAAATTTAAGGCCAAAACCAAGACGTTCGCCTGGTAAACGATAAACTTCAACTTCCTCCTCAAGATGTGGATCCACTCCATTTGTAAGGGATTTTGTTGTTTCATTGTCTTTATTTCCGCTTGTACCAATTGAAAGAACAGTGACAAAATTATCAGGATGATTATTATTATTTGTTTTTGTTTCACCCTGTGTTCCCACACTGACCACCGTTATGAAATCCTCACCCTTCACCTTTGACATCTCCATTTTTCCGTTCATTGACATCAAACTGATCCATTCATTATTATTATTATTCTTGTTGTTCTCCAGCTGATCTTTCTGCTCTGGAATGTTGGCCACTCCCTGTAAAAAAAGAGGAGACATGCTTTTGTAAAACATTGTGAATACATAATTACATGTTGATTCTTTACTAAAAAAAAATAAAAATAAAAAAAATAAATTGTTATTCTATGGAAATATTAAAAAAAAATATATATTTCAATTTTAAATAAATGTTTTTTAAATTCTAATAAATATTTACGAATTTTAATAAAATTTTTAATAATTCTCTTATACATTGGAAAGGAAAATTTATTTGATTCAAATAATCGGTTTCTTGACTATTATCCGGGCAAAAAAATCTTCACCTATAATAGCGATATGTTTCATTAAAATAGCTAAACTTTTCGCTATTCTAAAGAAATATATCGCTGTTCCAGAGAAATTTAACGCTGCTGTTCCAGGTGAAGATTTTTTTTGTATGTCAAATAAATATTAATTTCCATCAAAAAATTTTTAATTTTAGTAAATAATTTTTATTTCTGTCAATTTTTATTTGCATAAAATAATTTTTTATTTTGTATCATTTTTTTATTTGCATAAAATAATTTTTATTTGTATCATTTTTTATTTACATCAAATAATTTTTTATTCGTAGTAAACAATTTTTTATTTGCATCAAAGAATTTTTATTCGTAGTAAATAATTTGTTATTTGTATTAAAAAATTTGTATTTGTAACAAATAATTTTTGTAACAAATTAAATTAAATTAAATCAATTAAATGGTATTTTTTTCAAATAAAGAAATTATTCGTTTATAAATACAGTTTATATAATTCAATTATATGATTTCAAAAATTATTTGATTCAAGTAAAGATTAATTTGATAATAGTCAAGTAATCGATTATTTGAATCAAATAAATTTTTTTTCTATGTAGTCATTTTTATAATAATAATAATGACATAATTATATAATTTTTATAATAAAATTATTTTTATAATTTAATAAAATTTTTAATAATTCTCTTATACACTGTAAAAGAAAATTTATTTGATTCAAATAATCGGTTTCTTGACTATTATCCGGGCAAAAAAATTTTTACCTATAATAGCGATATGTTTCATTAAAATAGCTAAACTTTTCGCTATACTAGAGAAATATATCGCTGTTCCAGAGAAATTTAACGCTGTTCCAGGTGAAGATTTTTTTTGTGTGTCAAATAAATATTAATTTCCATAAAAAAATTTATAATTTTAGTAAATAATTTTTATTTCTATCAATTTTTATTTGCATAAAATAATTTTTTATTTGTATCATTTTTTTATTTGCATAAAATAATTTTTATTTGTATCATTTTTTATTTACATCAAATAATTTTTTTTTTGTAGTAAACAATTTTTTATTTGCATCAAAGAATTTTTATTCGTAGTAAATAATTTGTTATTTGTATTAAAAAATTTGTATTTGTAACAAATAATTTTTGTAACAAATTAAATTAAATTAAATTAAATCAATTAAATGGTATTTTTTTCAAATACAGAAATTATTCGTTTATAAATACAGTTTATATAATTTAATTATATGATTTCAAAAATTATTTGATTCAAGTAAAGATTAATTTGATAATAGTCAAGTAATCGATTTATTTGAATCAAATAAAATTTTTTCTATTGTAGTCATTTTTATAATAATAATTACATAATTATATAATTTTTATAATAAAATTATTTTTATAATAAAATTATTTTTATAATATAATTATTTTTATAATATAATTATAATATTCTGGAATAACATTATTATTAAAATATATATATTAAAATTTTTCTAAAAAAAAAAAAATTGAAATTTTTAATATATTAGAATCGTGCCGTAAAAATTGTGTCACGTAAATATACAGAGCACAAAAGATCACGGGAATCAATTGTTTTGGTTAGAAAAAAAAATCCTCGTGTATAATCGATGCAAAGTGGTACTTGGGAGTATTTTCATTGAAAAAAAAACCCCATAGGGTTTATCACGACGACACTTTCTTATTTTCTCCAACAACATCAATGTATTTCACATACACAAATATATTTTACAAATTCAAAAAAAAAAAAATCCACAAATAATTTTACTAAAAAGAAAATTTTTTAAAAATACAATAATATAAAATAATTTTTAATTTTAATGAATTTTTTTTAAAATGAACTACAAATTTTTGTCTCAATATTTTAATTATTTATTGAAAAAATAAGAAACGATTTGAGATAAAAAAAGGAAAAATTTCATTTTCCGTTACAGTAAAATAATTTAATTTAATAAAATTTTTCTAATCGCTAATTTACTGTTTCGTGCAATTTATTATTTCTTGAAAATATTTTTGTGTCATTTTTCTAAATGATAAAATAATTTCTAAATAATATATAGGCTGTGTATTTAATAAATATATAATATAAGAGAATTTTATAAACGAGTGAAAATAAATTTCTCACTTAAAAAAAAAAAATAAATTTTTTTTTTTTGTTAAAAATTAAATGAAATTTGTTTATAGGAAGACGTTTGAATAGAATGCCTAACACAATCACCACCACCTCCCACGTATCTATTTTCACTGAATTGCATCCCAATGACCCGCGCGATGCATTGGAAAAGAAGCTAGTACGTGAAAGTGTGCTGACTTCTATATCAAAATAATCCCAATGGATATCTCAACTGATGATCGTATAGAATGTGAGAAGTAGAAAGTAGATTGACCCCAGAGGTCACTGTCAAGAAGTCAGCTGATTCTATAGATTTGCCAATGAATTCACAATTTTACTTTATTTTACTAGGCCATCAGAACAATTCAATATTCAATTATTGTTAAATCCTCTCTTTTACATTGTCGTCGCTTTCAATTAGCCGCGCATCGCAGTCAAATGCCAATATCACTTTTTTTCATCACGATTGACAATTTAATGTGATTTCTAAAATTTTACATAGAAAATGGAAAGCCAGAGATTTTTTTTATTTTTAATTAATAATTTTTTAATTAATTTTTTATTCATTCAAATTTTTATACGCATTTAATAAGCCAAAAGAAAGAAATATTTGTCTCAGAAAAATATTTGAGAAATATTTGTTTACATATTTATTTGTTTAAATAAATTTTGTTTAGTTTAAATAAATTTTTGTTTTTGTTTAAAACGATTTTATTTAGTTGAAATAAATTTTATTTTGTTTAAATAAATTTTATCTTGTTTAAATAGATTTTAACTTGTTTAAAAAGATTTTATTTAGTTTAAATAAATATGTTATTTTGTTTAAATAAATATTTCATTTTGTTTAAATAAAAATTTTACATACACTAAATAAAATTTTATTTGTGCTAAATAAAATTTTCCTATTTAAAACAAATAAAAAGTTATTAGACTCTGGAACAAATAAATAAATATTTAGTTCAAATAAATTTTTTTTATCTCAAAATAAAGGAAAGTAAAATATTTCTCTCGATTGAAAAAAAATTTACTCGATTGAAATAATCAGTTATTTTACTATTATCTAATAAATATTTACTTAAAGCAAATAATTTTTAGTAATTTAAATAATTTAATTTAATAATTTTAATTATACGTAAAACAATAATTTTTATATTTAAAGAAATATAATTGCTATACTTGAATCGATATAATTTCTGTATTAGAACTAATAGTAATTTTTATATTTCAAACCAAATTTAATTTATTTAAATTTATTTATAATTTATTTAAATTTATTTAAATGTATTTAAATTTATTTATAATTTATTTAAATGTATTTAAATTTATTTATAATTTATTTAAATTTATATTTATAATTTATTTAATATAAATAAATATTTATTTGACATAATAGTCAAGTAACTAACTACTTAAACACGAAAAAAAAAATTTCACCTGGATCAACGATATGTTTCTCTAAAACAATAAAAAATTTCTCTATTCTATAGAGAAACATATCGCTGTTCCAAAATAAAGATTTCTTTCCGTTAATGAAATAAATTTTTTTTTCCAATGTAGGTGTAGAATTTTGTAGTTAAAAAAATTTGTATTAAAAAAAATACTAATTGATTCTTCTAAAGAAAGCGTGGGAAAATTAAACACAACATAATAAATCCTCCCCCTCTCAAAAAATATAATATTTTTTTTAAAAAAAATAAAACAGTGTAAATTTTAAAAGGATCCTAATGGTTATTCTTAATTTAAATTTTGTCATTATATAAAATGCAGATACAGTGTTTGCATATAATTTGCATAAATAATTAATTATATTAAAAAGGACATTTTTACGATAAGACATTTTTAAAAAAATAAAAAAAATAAATAAAACAAGCTTTAGGAATAAAAAAAAAAAAGTGGTGGTAATATACTTTACACGATATCCTATTATACAAACTGGCTCGAAAAAAGGTTAAGGTAAAAATACAAATACCTTTTAGAGGTTTCAACGATTCACCTCATTTTACGGACGCTTTTCAAGTTGTCAAACATTCCTACCGATATTGCGATTCCTTTTTCTTTTGATATTTATCTTAATACGAAACACTTGATGCAAAAAAAAAGAAAAAAATGTTTTCTTATAAAACTGTGAAGAAATAAATTCAAACTGAATATATCTCCTATAGTTATTTTTCTCTAAATTTTTTCTTTCAATTAAATTAATACTTTTTTAATTAAATAAATTTTAGTAAATATTTTATTTTATAAATATTTATAATATATTTCATTGTGTAATAATAATAATAATTTATTTATTTACATGTATTGAGGCCTACTTAAAGAAAAAAAAATGATCCTAATAATAATAATATAATAGAATATATAATATTATATAATCAGTGATTAACGCGTATATATATATAATATCGTAAGACTTATAAATAATGAAAGCTATATATATTTAATTTTGGTTTACTTATTATAATTCATTTTAAAATCCACTTTAAAAATCATCTTGAAAGGAATATAACATATATTAATAATTATAAGACTGGAATGTAAGTGAAAGAAGCAAATTAATAATTCATAAGAATTTATTTCTGCATGGTAAACTTCCAATTTTTAACGTGTAATCAATAC